TGAGGAAAGAGTAGTGTTTCAGCAATGGCAGATATCTGTTGTGGGGCTGCTGTGTGAGGGTCAGGATTTGAGACACATTAGGCAGTTTTTAAATATCTGTAAGTCATAACTCTGTACACACAGCACAACCTTTGTATGACTGATCAAACACCAGCAGTGATCAGTTCCACCTCGGGAAAGCTGCGTTTCTTTTTTTTTGTTGTTGAGGTCAGATTCACATAACATAGTACTTACCATTTTAGAGTGAACACTGCAGTGGCATTTAGCACATTCACGACGTTCTGTAACTGTCACCTCTATCTAGTTCCAGAACATTTTCATCACCCCAAAAAGGAAACCCCATCGCTGTTCCCCTGCCCTAGCCCCTGGCAGCCACTAATCTGCTTTCTGTCGCTGTGAAGTTTCCTGTTCTGGACATTTCGTATGAATGGAGTCATGCACCATGTGGTCTTTTCAGTCTGGCTTCTCAGCATCATGCTTTCAGGGTTCATCCATGTTGTAGCGTGTGTCAGAGCTTCATTCCTTTTCGTGGCTGCGTAATATTCCACTGTATGGATGGACCTCAGTTTCTTTATCCAGTCATCCATTGATGGGCACTTGGGTTATTTCCACCTTTTGGCTATTGTGAATAGTGCTGCTGTGAACATGCATGTACATTAGTTCTCTTGGGAGCCAAATTGCCAGATCATATGGTAATTCTATGTTTAGTCTTTTGAGGAACTGCCAGACTGTTTTCCACAGGAGCTACACCATTTCACATCCTGATAATCAATATCTGAGGCTTCCATTTCCACCACATCCTCACTAACATTTATTTCCTGGGTTTTTTTTTATTATTATTATAGCCATTGTATTGGGGGTAAAGTGGTAGGAAAGCTATGTTTTTATTTATTTATTTATTTTTCTTTTTTTTTTGATTACCCAGGTATTACCACATGAAGGCTATGAATTAAGGGGGAAAATCTGCATATTCATTTTGATTCATTTGAAAGTCTGGACTATCATAGATTATGTACTCTTTATTTAGAAGAGCCTTTATTTAGAAAATGGGTAATTGACTATGTGTCTAAAAGCAAAATGATATTTCTGATTATTTGTGGAGTATTTTTGAATCCCATCATTATCTTATCTCAATGTTGTACCTCGTAGGGCTGGCTGGTTAGCTCAGTTGGTTAGAGCACAGTTTTATAACACCAAGGTCAAGGGTTCAGATCCCTATACTGGCCAGCCACCAAAAAATACATAAAAAATAAATGTTGTACCTTGACCTCGAGAAATGAGAGACGAGAGAAGGGGGCACAGAGAGATAAAGGTTTGGTCGCAGAAGTCTTGGTCTTGTGTTTCTCACTAGCTGCACTATTCGTTGAATGATAAGGACTTAGTTATCATAAGTTTGGTAATTTCGTGTCTTTTCTTTCTGACAAAGTAGGATCTGATCCCGACTCAACCGAGAGTTCTTTCTCTACCCAGCATGGAGCTTTCCAGCCCGAAGCCTTCTTGGACATCACACCTGCCAACCTCACAGTCTGCAGATGGGACCCTTCGCAGCGCTCACTCAAGAACTGGCTCCCTGGAGATTCATGTTTCTGGTGACACAGCCTCCTGCACATCGTCACTTTCCATGGCAGGCACTTTTTCACAATCAGCACCTTCAAAAATAGGGCGCATCAAGCTTATGTCCTCCCCCAGGAATGAGGCTGGGCCTCAGGATGAGTCGGTCTCAGAAGCTACTGATGACAGCCCGAACGGTAACCCATGTCCTTGTGCAGAGTCATTACCTGGGACAGGAAGGGGGTGGCTCTCGGTAGGGGCCCAGCATGGTGGTCACATGCTTTGCCATGGGCAGTGAGTGGCAATTCACATCACACCTCAACTTTCTAACTTTCTTTCCTAGTTGATGGGCTGCTATGGTTAGAATGTGTCTCCCAGAAATTAATGTTATTATGGATTAATGCTATTATTGCAGGAGTGAGTTCCTGATAAAAGGATGAGTTCAGCCTCCCTTCCCTCTTGCTCTCTCTCCTGTGCTCTTTTGTCCTTCTGCCACAGGCTAACACAGCAGGAAGGGCCTCACCAGATGCCAGCACCTGGATATTGGATTCCAGCCTCCAGACCTGTAAGGCAGTAAATTTCTGTTCTATACAAATAACCCAGTCTCAGATATTCTGTCATAGCAGCCCAAAACAGACTAAGATGGGGCCATGTCAGATTTTTTGTTCTATCTTTATTTATTTATTTTGGCAGCTGGCTGGTAACAGGCATCCAAACCTTGACCTTGGTGTTATAACACCATGCTCTAACCAACTGAGCTAACCAGCCAGCCCCTGTTCTATCTTTAAAATGTTCATCTAAAATCTTAGTAAGTTCAGGCTGTTGTAACAGAATACCCGAGACTGGGTGGTTTCAAAAACAAATGTTTATTTCTCACAGTTCTGAAGGCTGGAAGTCTGAGATCCGGGTACCGGCAGGGTTGGGCTCCTGGTGAGGGCTCTCTTCTTTGTTTGCAGACGGCTGCTTTTTTGCTGTGTCTTCACACAGCACAGAGAGAGCTCTGATCTCTTCATTGGGTTACAATGACACACATCCCATCCTGGGGCTGCCACTCTCATGACCTCATCCAAACCTAATTCCTCCCAAAGACTCCACCTCCAAATACCATCACAGTAGGGATTAGGGCTTCAACAGAGATTTGTGGGGGGACACATTCAGTCCCTTGCATCCAGTAACCCTGACTACTTATGGAGCAGTAACCTGAAAAAGAAATCCTTCTTGAGCCACATACAGGGGTACTTCATAAAGTTCACAGGAAGATTCATATTATCTTTTAATTCTATTTTTCCACGAACTTTTTGAAGTAACCTTGTACAGCAAAAAGGCAACAACCTAATTTTCCTTTTTTTTTTTTTTTGGTGGCTGGTCGGTATGGGGATCCGAAGCCGTGATAAGGCTGTGCTCTAACCAACTGAGCTAACCAGCCAGCCCTAGTTTTCCTTTTTATAAAAGAGAAATTTGTTTCCTTTTTAAATTCATAAAAGGAAACAAATCTCTAATGCATAAAAGATAAACACTTCTATTATTTCGATATTTTTCTTTTTTTCTAACTTCTTTGGTGGCTGGCTGGTATAGGGACATTTTTCTTTTTTTTTTTTTCCTTTTTGTCTTTTTTCGTGACCGGTAATGGGATCGCAACCCTTGGTGTCGCGCCCGTACCGCGACCGGCAACGGGATCGCAACCCTCGGTGTCGCACCCGCACCATGCTCAACCAGTGAGCGGACCGGTCTCTATATGGGATCTGAACCCTCGGCGGGAGCGCCGCCTGTGCTCCCAAGCGCCACACTCTCCCAAGTGCGCCACCGGGCCGGCCCATATAGGGACATTTTTCAACATTATTTTTATTTTAATATTTATTTAAGAGGAAAAGGAGAGAAAAAAAAGATTTGAAGCCAACATTTTTCCCCCCTCTGGGATGCTTTGTGGTGAAATCAAAGTTAACTAATTGTTTCATGAGCACCCGCTGTATGCCAGCAGGAGACAGTGTCACATGGTCAAGAATTTAACACACAGCAGACATGCCCCCTGCCCTTCAGGGGCCTGGATGGCAGTCACCTGTGAGTCAGGGAAAGCCTAGAGTGGGAGTGAAAGCCCCACTAGAACAGCAGTACAGAGCCACCAGGGTGGGAGGGTGAAACTCTGCCAGCAGAGGTATGTCCCTTCCACCTGGCCACGTAGGGGTCAGAGAAAAGCCCTCATAAGCCCTCTGCCACCTTCTGCCAGATGCCACATGGCAAATTGCTGATACCAGCTCTGATCCTTTGGTTAGTGGCACATTGTACATCTAAGGAATCAGGCCTGAGGTGTCAGTGAGAGGTTGTCCCCACCAGCCTGTCCCCATGTCACCTCCCTTGGTGAGCAGATGAGAAGGTGGGCATACTTGTGGGGACAGAGAAAGGATTGGCACCATGCTACAGGTTCCCGCCATCCTGTCATCTGTCTGTTCTGTCCTTCCCACTGGGCTCCCTCTCAGCCCTCATTCCTGGCCTGGTGCGGCCTCTCCTGGTGGCCAGGTGTCACCTGCCCTCGTTCAAATGCAGCCTGGAGGGAGGCAGCCGGGAGGGTGAGCACAAGCCCAAGTCTGGAGTCCGATGTGCCTGGGGTGGGCGTCCTGGCCGCGCCTCTCACTAGCTGTGTGATCTCGGGCTCTCTGAGCCTCAGGGTCCTCGTGTAAATTGGGGGCAATAGTGGAATGTGCCTCCTGAGCTGTCCTGCAGCATCAGTGAGGCAGCAGTTGTGAAGCCCCCAGCCGGTGCTGCATCACTATGACTGTCACGTCATTCTCAGCCTGGGCCAGCTGGGATGACTTAGCTCACAGACTTCGTCTCCGAAAACATCCACATCACGTGTGCCTTTGAACCTCGCTGCCATGTGTGCCGTAGTGACAGTGAGTGTTGGAGGAGATCAAGGAGGGACGAGCCCTGGGACTGGAAGGGAGCGAGTCGGGAGTTGATCTGAGGCCGAAAGGGGCAGGTGGAGGAGGTGGCTGGTGCAGTGATTCAGCCCAGCGTGGGTGGCCGCACTCACCTGCCCTTTGCAGTCGGGGAGGGGACAGCTCGCTCTTCCCCCACCTCTTGCTCCAGCCCGCCTGTTCCTCAGTGTGGCTGCTCTGTGCCCCCCATAGAACCCCTTGCCACCTTGGGCCCCCTCATGGTGTTTGTCCAACTCAGCACTTATTGGATATGTCCCCACTTAGGTTTTGAGGCCCTGCAGGGTTGAGGCACCCATGGACACACACACACACACACACACACACACACACCTCCAACACTTTGGGGGGCACACACACACACACACACACACCCCTCCAACACTTTGGGGGGCTGACCTGAGTCATGTGTCCTGTCAGGAGTGGAGTCGTGGAGTGGAGTCAGGAGTGGAGTCGTGGGGACACAGCCATACACACACACACACACACACACACACACACCTCCAACACTTTGGGGGGCACACACACACACATACACACACACACACACACACCCCTCCAACACTTTGGGGGTCTGACCTGAGTCATGTGTCCTGTCAGGAGTGGAGTCGTGGAGTGGAGTCAGGAGTGGTGTCGTGGGGACACAGCCACATTCGCTGTCCCGTGGCCAGCTCTTTTGCTGAGCTGACTTAAACCTGCTGGAGCACCACTATCTCTGCAGAGGACTGACTCCGAACTTCTGGGTCACAGCACACACTTGATTCAGGCACTGGGGGCTGACTGGTGGGCATGCTGAAGTGGCCATCCCCCTGAAGTTTCTGCTGTGACTTTACATGGCCTGAGAGCTTAGGGTGCTTCAGGGTCACATCTCAGGTCTGCCTCTCTCCTCCTCCCGCAGCTGCCTGGGTGCCCCTCCCCATCCAGCCCCTCATCCCTCGTGCATGCTTGTCACCAGCTTCCTACAGTGCATTGGGATCATCTGCTTATTTGTCTGGACCAGGGGCCGGCTGGCCCATCGTCTGGTTTTATAAATAGTTTTATCAGAACATGGCCACGCCCCTTCCTTTACACACTGTGGCTGCTTTCACATCACAACAGCCAAGCTGAGTAGTCACCACAGTCTCCCCCAAGATGCTGGAAATATTTACTATTTAGTCCTTGAGAGAAAAGTGTGCCCTGCCCCGGGCTAGGTTATTGGGGACAGGGAACACACATCTTTATATTTTTCTAAACATTAATGGAGTAAATAAGTAAATATTGTCATACAAATTTTTTAATTACAGATTTTAGAGTCAATATTTTATCCCTTGAGGACCTGGCTCCAGCTGTCAGTGAGAAATCAGACTTGGAACAGAAAGTAAGTATGACAGTCACCTGTAACCGGAGGTGGTTGTGTAGCAAGCTTGCAGTGTGACGTTCCATTTATACCAGGGGTTCTCAGTGGAGTGATTCTGCCCCTCAGGGCCATTGGCAGTGACTGGGGCATTTTGGTTGTCACAACTCGGGGGTGGTAGGTGCCACTGGCATCCCTAGTGGATGGAGGCCAGGGATGCTGCTCAGCGTCCCACAGTATATAGCACGGCCCCCACTGCACAGAATTTCCAGTCCCATGTCAAGAGTGCCACAGGCAAAAGACCCTGATTTGGGTGATAACAGGAGAAAGCTGCTTAGTTTAGCAGATGATTAAAACCCATCCCACTTAAGCCACCCGTAGCAATATCCACACTAAGGACTTCTCGTTCAAATGCCCTGTCGTGGTTTTTGCCCTATTCAGAAACACCCGCACCATGAAATGCACGTTTTGGTGATACAGAATGATGCAACTTCCATTTCCACTCACGTGCCTCCTAAACATGCCCCACGCCATTGGGGTTAGGTGCAGCAGGCTTTCAGACACCCCTTGCAGAAGCATCTCGAGTTCTGTGTAGAATGTTCCACCTGCCCACACCTAGTGAAGGGTCCGCATGCACCCTCACCTCCTGGGACCCGCTGTTCATCAAATGTGTCATTTTTAGCCTGTCGATTGTTCGCAAACACTTTCCAGCAGCCTCTGCTGTCCTTCGTTTTAGAAAGAATCTGCTCAGAGGAAAAAACCGTCGAGCAAAAGCTGCCTGGCCAAGGCGCCTGCTAGGCAGAAAATGCCGAGACATGCCCAGGCTAGGAGCTCAGTGTCTCAGAGTGAGGTCGCCTCTGCAGACAGGGACGAGGACCTCCCCACTGAAAGTGAGGTCTCAGAGCATCTGAGTGCCAACGTGACCTCAACTGCCTGGCAGGACAGTGCGGCCAGCGCGAAGTCGTCGTCCAGAGCTCTGACGGTGAGCACAGTGAGCCCAGCTTATTCTGAAGACTTTGAACACTCCCCAAGTCCAACAGCATCTGAGCCAACAGCCCATTCTGAGGGGTCTCTTGGCCGAACATGGGACACTTTGTCTTCAAGTCTGGAGACAGGCCTTTCTCCTCACCCATCTGAGTCCGGGAGAAAGTGGGGCAGGGACGTGACAAGGGTCACTGTGAAGGAGACAGCCGTGCAGACTCTCGATCCTGCCTTTACCTGCCAATGGACCACGGGTAAGTGTGGTGGCCATGGAGGCCCGGGAGGGTGGGACAGGCCCTCAGTGTGCCGTCTGCAGCATCCCGGAATCATGCGGAAGAACCCAGGTTTCCAGGATCTGCCAGCTGGGGAGGGACAACGCAGCACCCCATATCCTCTTCTGTGGGTGAGGGGCTGAGTTGTCAGACTGAGATGATTCTGCCACTGGGGGACATTAGCAAAGTCTGGAGATATTGTTGGTTGTCACAATGGGGGTGGAGGTGGGGATGGGAGGGGCAGCTGGGGTGTTCCTGGCATCTGGTGTGTGGAGGCCAAGGACACCACCCAAAACCCTGTGGTCCACAGGACGCCTACACCCCAGAGAATGATCCAGCCCCAAACGTGAGTGGTCCCAAGGGGGGATGCCCTGAGGGAAGGCATGTCAGTCTTTTGAGTCGTCACATAACATGGGGAGTGGCCTTCAGAGACACCGATGGGCATGTGCCCATTGCAAAACCACCTTGCTCGACAACTGGTACTCAGCCGGCTCATGGGGCTCCAGCACAGGGGCTCTGAGGGCTGCCTTGTCACAGGTCTGCCTGGTTATCTGCACTCAGCATCCCCCCATGCAGTCCCCACCAGAGCCCACTGGCTTCCGAAGCTCACCCCTGCCACCAGGCAGCCTTAGCCTCGACTCTCCAGCACTTGGAGTTGCAGGGGGCCTCCTGATCCTGGTCTGTATTTTAGCAAGCAGTGGAGGGGCCACTTCTCGTCAGCCCCTGTGTGACTTTGCAGGCATTTCTCTGGTTCCCAGCCTCAGCCTCGGCTCTTCCCGATGGAAAAGACTCTTTAGACATTCTCCTGCTCCTTTTTCTTGTCTAGATTGAGCTTGTCCCTAGATAGTGAAGAGATGTAATTCTCACTCGGTCTGTTCCTTTTGATTTGGGGGCTTAACCATCCATCAGCTTTGACCTCACACCTGGACCGGGGGTGACCGTTACTTGTTTCTCAGGGAGGAAAGTTGATCAAATTGGCCAAGTCCAATCACCAGGAGGTGATAAACAACATTTAAGGGTGCTAGGGTCTGGGACTGAGAAACCTTTGTGTCCCTGTCCACATCCTTGTGCCGTGCCTTTCTTTCTTTTTTTTTCCTTTTTTTTTTGTCTTTTTTCGTGACCGGCAACAGATCGCAACCCTCAGTGTCACGCCCGTACCGGACCAGGACCGGCAACGGGATCGCAACCCTCAGTGTTGCGCCCGCACCTCGCTCA